CCCTGGCTGGGCTCAGTCACTACTGCCAAACCCCCACCTCCTCTGCTGTCCTGCCATGGGGGTGGGTTCAGGGAAAGCTGGAATGCATGACTTTGAGCAAGTCCTTTCACTTTGCTGAATCCCTACAGCACTTTTCTGAAAATTAACTAATGATGTGGAGTTGGCTGTCATCTGCTGAGGGTGGGAAGGGAGAGAAAGTGTAGAGGGCTGGATGGTCTGAGGGAGGAGGAGTTTGCTACCAGCTTCTCTAACTGCTTCAGCAGCTTGTGTCCATAGTGCCCATCTAGGCCATCTTCCCACTCCTGGAAGGATCCACTCAGGATGCTGGGAATGACAGTGCAGGCCATCAGTGGGCAGGAGTAGGGAGTGCCAACATTCCTGAGACCACACTGGGTTTGCAGCAGTGTGCCAAAGGCCCGCCTTCTCACCCATGTTGCCTGGCCCTACAGGTTGAATCAAAGACACAGAAGTTAGTGGGACATGACACCTAATCTGTGCTGTCATGCCTTCTGGCCAAGCCGTAAAACAGGAGTGACAGAGGCACTCCCTTTGAACTTGAATCCTTTCTAAACTGCCCCTCAGGCCCCTCCTCAGAGGGTCAGAAAAAGCCCATTCGCTCCTCTCCTTATTCCGGATGCTTAAAAAAATATTGTGGTAATGTAGGTCAGTGAACTGACCGGCACCACACACCAGCAGGATTACAGGGCCCGCCAGCCCGCACGCTGGCCCACTTGGTCAGATGAGAACATAAACAAGAAGGGCCAGGAGCCCTCGGCTTCCCCAGCCCTAGGCTTTTGTTTATGTAGCACTTAAACCAACTTTGGGGTCTTTGCAGTCTGCCGTGAAACCCCTGAAGCTTTTTGAAGTTCCCCTGAAGTTAATAAAATTAGTCTGCCCTCATTGCAAGTCCTTGGCTTGCAGGGGGAAGATGGATCCTCCGCTGTGTCTGTGGCATTTAGCTTTTTAAGTTAATATTCTATAACCAAGAGAAAGGGGAAGGCAGGGGAGAAAATGCAGTAAAAAGTCTTATGAAATGCCTTTATGCTAATAGGTAGCATGCCTGCCACCCCAGGGCCCTGGTCATGGTAGATACCAGCCACCAGGCCCACTGGAAGGCCACAAGATGAGCCGCCATGCTCAATGTGATGAGGGATGACCAGCACTGGGGTGTGGGAGGGAACTAGGTACAAGGCAAGGCTGTCAGCTCCCTCTTTAATGAAACGTACCCCCCAACCACAAGTCCACTTGAGTGATTTTCTTTTGCCCCCAGAGAACCAAGAGTCACCTTCTGTCACCAGTGTCTCCCTCCCCACTTGCATATTGTGTGCATACTTACTGGGACCTGTTGTGGGTCAGGGCATTGTAAGATAGAACTTCCAGTCTGTCTGGTGAGGGACACAGATGGGCCTGGGGACAGGAGGTGCCTGCTTTGTGGGAGAGGGTCTGAAGGAAAGCTTGTCTGAGCCGAGCCTAGGAGAACTGAGTGAGATCTGGGGTGGATACAGAGTTGGGAAGAGGGTGGCGGGATGATCGATGTGTTCGTTACGTTCACTGGCTCAATGATGGTAATGGTTTCATGGGTATATATGTATAACCCAAATTATCAAGTTACTTACCTAACGTGTACATGCTTATGTTATTTATCAATTATGTCTCAATGAAGTGTTAAAAGAATGAAAGGCCATAGGCAGGATGTACCAGCAATCACAGGTATGTGTTCCACATTGACTTAGGCATTCAAGGAGCATGCATGTAGTAAGTGCCTGTTGGCACACAGGAAATGCAGCTGTGGAGAAGAGAGATGTGTTTCTGCTTTCATGGACCTTGGCCTGCTTGGGAGGAGTGAACAAGTAATAGATAAAGCATATCAGGGAGTGATCTGTGTTCTGAAGACAGGGACAGGACCAGGGTGTGCAGAGGAGTAAGGGCCAGGGTGCAGGGGGGGGCCAAGTCTGAAGGCCTTGATTGGAGCCCTTGCTGGGCATTGGGGGCCTGCCCAGAGATGGGGGCACCCTGTCTGCCAGTGAGCAGTCCAAAGGCAATGGGACGGAGGGAGAATGTAATTGCCTTCCCCATGGATATACAGGAGCCTCTTGAGGCAGGAGCTTTTGATTTGGCACATGGTAGGCTCTCAATAAGTATTTGTAGGGAGAAAGGAAGGACATTATAAATTTGATGTGAATTTTCTGCCTGGATTGCCCATTGTATCCCTGTGGTGCCTTTTATAAGGTGGTTGTCTACGTAAGTTGTAAGCTCTTGGTACCAGGATCATGTGTTTGTCATTTCTCGGCCAGCCATGATGCTGGGGACATGCTATCAGCTGGCTCTGTCTCACAGGCTAGCAAAGGCCTGGGACCCACACAGCCTGCCCAGAGTAGCCCAGGGCATCCCAGCAGCCCCAGACCTGCCTGCTTCTCCATCTTGGTGGAGGGAGGGGGTCAGCACATTCTTTGAATGCTTCACCCTAGGCTCTGCAAAGGCCCACCACACTTGGGTTTGAGCCTCCAGTGTACGGCTGGCTGTGGTGACTGCAGTTCCCTCAGGTCTCGCCTCTAACTGCCCTGAAGTAGAAATGAAAATCCGTTGCAGACAAGGATGCTCAAGGGCTTGGGGGACCCCGCCAAATGCCTCTGTCATAGGCTGAGGTGTTCTGAGTCAGTCCCTTTCTCCTAAGGACAGGTGGCCCCTCAGCAGCACAGGCTGAACTTAGGATGGGAAGTGGCAGTGAGCACCTCTGGTCATGGGGAACATGGAATGGCTAGTCCAGAGCCTTTGGCTCAGTTCAGCTGAACTTCCTGGGTCCCTACTATACCAGACTAGGCTGCTGAATGTGATAGGCAGGCCTGCCTCCCAGCTCCTGCCTCCTGGGCTCCTGCCTCCCAGGCTCCTGCCTTCCGAGCTCCTGCCTCCGGGCTCCTGCCTCTGGGCTCCTGCCTCCCAGGATCCTGCCTTCCAGTCTCCTGCCTCCCGGTCTCCTGCCTCCTGGGCTCCTGCCTCCTGGGCTCCTGCCTCCCAGCTCCTGCCAGGCTGGAAACGGAGCTCCACATGCAGGCTACTCTGCTGGAGTGGAGACAGGACACCTGGGAGCTGGGAAGCCCGGGAAAACATATGGGGCTGATCACATCTGCTGGCCCTCACTCCCCATGTCTGTGGTCAGAGGAGCCACCTCCATTCATTTCACCCAGCAGCACCCACAGATGGGTCAGAGCCCACAGCAAGCCAACCCACAGGGGAGCTCTGTGGAGCCGAGTCCTGAAGGACGAGGAGGAGTTTATGTGTGGGAATGAGATTTGTGAATTATAAAGGGCTGTGCAAGTGGAAATGATTATTCTTATCGTTATTTGTATCCGATTCATCCATCACTGGGGAGAGGAGGAATGCAAGTACCTTTTATCTGGCACTATGAATCAAATAGAATAGGATATGTTTTTCTAAAAGGGTTTTAGGGTAAATGGGACAGTTTCTGCCTTTCAAAACAATCCATCTAGGGCCCTTAGCCAAATCTTGGCGTCTTGGGCAGAAGTGAGATGTTTCTGAGGTCGAGGACAGTACAGCCCACAGGGGTTCCCCCATGAGTCTCAGCCTCAGGAGGAGAGGACATGGAGGTGGCAAGTCCCACCATTGGCAGTGCTTCTGGACTCCACAGTGCTACCTGGGCTAGCTCCAGCTCAGACTCGACCCCGGTCCCCAAAAGAACCCAGGCCAGTGCACAGGGCCTGGAGAGCAGAAGGAAGCCTCCCCCATTTCCCTGGTGGCAGCCGTGTGGGACCCAGCATGCTAGATGCCAGATGGAGCATGAGTTATGCTCCAAAGTAGCAGCAAATCTCAGGAGGAAGCTCTGTGTTAGATCTTCTGAGATCATCTGGGAGAGGGTCTAGTCCGTAACATGCGCCCATGCACACATAGACACACGCGCGCACGTGCCCCTCTTTCTCTTTCTTTGACTCGGAGGCCTGGCACCTTCCTGGCATGGGCCCTGCAAAGGAGCTGGGCAGGGCAGGGGAGGGGAGGCTACCTGGTGGGGGCTTTAGGTGCCGTGGAGAGCCATGCCACCTTCCCTGAGGGGAGTATGTTGAGCTGCCAGAGGCCACAGGAGGGGAGAGTGACACTTCAGCCTTCCCTGTGCTCAATCCTTGGGGAGAGGTTCAAGGTGAACATAGCTCATGCTGAAATCAGGGCTCTCCAGGTTGGCTTTTTTATGCACACACATGTCCCTTCTGTCAGCCTGGGCCTCCATGAATAGGCGAGGGGCACAGATTCAGCAGCAGAGGGCCTGGCCAGGGAGGAGCCAAGGAAGATGGGGCTCCTGCCAGGATCGAGGTAGGAGGGCATCATTCAGAGGGCACAGTGGGGCTGTAGAGTAGATGTGGGCCAGGCCAGGAAGAGGCTCTGACAGAGTGAGGAAAGCTGTGGCTGAAATACATATGTGTGTACTGAGCTGGAGGAGCAGAGACTGGGTTCTCAGACACTGCTAGGAAGGAAAACCAGGGAGAGGGTGAGGTGAGTTGGTGAGGTGAGTTCTAGAAAGCCTTGCTGCAGGTTCAGGAGTGGATGTCCTCCTCTCAACCTGGGATGCCCATGCAAGCTTTCCTCAGGAGTGCTGCCAGCCATCATTAGCCAAGTGCTCGGGGACAGGCAGGGTGCAGTGGCCGTGGAGAGGCAGGTACTGGTAGGGCGATTGTGGATTCTGAGCTCCCTTAACCCTGGAGAGTTCTGTGACCTTAGATGGATGGCCTGACTGCTGTGCCTCCCTCCTGCTGCTGCCGTAGTGCTAAGTGTGATCCACATAAAGCTCTTGTAGGGGGCCAGGCTGCTCAATAGAAGTCATGGTGGTGATGAGGGCTGGTCTCCACGTAGCTCCATAGCTCCGGTGCGTTCCATTGTCAGTGAGATGGGCAAATCACCAGGTAAGGGGTTGGGGGGAGGGGGGTGGTAGCAGCAGCAGATCTGGCCTCCTCCACACACTGATGCTCTCTCTGGGGCTGGGTGTGTGGGGACAGGTGATGGATGACCACAGCGTGATCGGCCGTTCCCTGTTCAAAAAGGAGACCAACATCCAGCTCTTCGTGGGCCTCAAGGTACACCTGTCTACTGGGGAGCTGGGGGTCATTGACAGCGCCTTCGGCCAGAGTGGCAAGTTCAAGATCCACATCCCTGGTGAGTGCAGTTGCTTCCTACCCCTGGCAGGCACTGTGCAAACATGGCGAGATGGTGGAGACAGTGCATGGACAGTGCTCCTTGGCTCAGGATGCTCAGCCTGCCTGAGCTGACACACAGGGCCCAGCCCACTCAACATCATGGCCTCTGGTCCCACAGGCTTTTGGTTGGAGAGCCAGGGTGGGTCCTGAAAGTGCCTGGTGTGGAATTAGCCTCTGTTCTGAGCCAGGGTCAGGGTGTGAGTCTGAGCTCCTGCTCCACTGTTACCACACAGGGCTGACCTTGGATGATTTACCCACCTTGTCTGTGAAATGCAGTACCGATATTGATCTGATAGGTGCTTTGGAGGAAGAGTTGGTGAGAGAGACCACCAGGGGCCTGGCATACTGCCCCAGTAGCCAGTATGGTTTCCCAGAATATGAGTTGCCACCTACGTTTTTGCCCAGTGGAGACCAGTAGGTGCTGAGCTTCTGCACAATCTGAGTTGGGACTTGTCCATGGCAGGATCAAGGGGGTGCATTTGCTATTGGGAAGAGAGCCCTTCGATCTCTTTCGTTCAGCCCTCTCTTCCATCACTCCTGCACTTACCCCATACCCATCTTTTGGAGGTCCTACCATACACCAGGCAGGCTGGGGTGCTTGGGGGAGGGGACAGGTGGGAATACATTCAGTGAGTACTGTACCTCGCAGAAAAAGTAAAGCAGGGAGAGGGAGAGAATCACTGTGTGTGTGCCTATGGACAGGCAATCAAGAAAGACCTCTCTGAGGAGGTAACCCTTGACTACAGCCCTGACCAAAGGGAAGGAGGGAGCCCCACTGACATCAAGGGAAGGAACACTTCAAGCTCCTGTCCTGTCCTCTCCACCGATCTGGTCATTACCTCAACCAAACCAGTGTCCACACTGCTCTGCTTCAGGTTCCAAGGAGCACACATGGGTCATGAACAGGGCAGGCCAAGGTCCACACCTCCATTCCCAGGGCCCTGGGCCTGTACCTGTGGGGGCTTACTGGGAGGATAGGAGGGGAGCCACCTGGGGTTAGGGGGGCCGCACCCTGGAATACTCATCTCTCCCCCTGCTGGTCCAGACAAGAGAAGGACAGCACTGTCTGTTCCTTTTTGGGGGTGTGTAGGATCATGTCCAAGCTCCCCTCAGCTCCCTTCCTTTAGCTCAAGGCCAGCTCAGAGTTAGGGTGTCCCCAGAACAGGCCAGAGTACAAGAGGAGGCTTGTTTGGGGGCCCTGGGTGCTGGGGTGGGAGTACAGAGAGGGATACACAGTACCGCTGCTTCAGTCGACTCAAGTTCACATTCCTTTGTAGGTCAGTGTTGCCTTTTTAATAGGTCTGCTTCCTGTTTGTGGCTTTTAAGCTTTTTATTAAATATAACTGGTCAGATTCCTTCATCCCACCCACCCCACTGCTCACCCTCCTCCTGCTTGTCTTTTCCTGTGGATTCCTTCCATAAATAATTACTTTTAACCTTTTTGAAGGGTATTAATTGTAGAAGAATCTTCAGTGAACCTGAGACACCCAGTGCCAGGTGGAGGAGGAGGAGCATTGCTGGCCTCAAGCTGGATGTGCCAGAGTGTGGAGGCTGAGGATTTTGGCCTTGCACGATTTAAGGCTCCCAGAGCAGGAACAGTTCAAAGGAGCTGTCCCAGCCCACAGATTGTGGGTGGGGCTGGGGTCAAATGTGGCCTATGAGCCTTGATGCTAGCTCTGCAGGGCAGCACAGTGGGGGAAAGGGGAGTGGACTAAAGATCATCTGGCTGTCCTCCCATCTGCCCCTGACCACCAGGCCTGGGTTCTCCCTGGGGCCTCTCACCTCAGGTGGCAGGGCCAGATGCCGACAGGGCCAGGTAGCCAGCAGTAGAGAGTAGTGGGGACTATGGTGGCCTGCCATAGACACTGGACTCTGAGATAGGGTCTTGACACTAAGCCCATTGCTTCCCCCCCAAGATACTCTCCGAAATCAGGGGGGCTGGGCTGGTGGGACAGCCCCATCCTGACATCCAAAATGCTGGCTGACCCAGAAAGTCTTAGATTTGGAAAGTCTGATGTTTAATAGCTGCTCCCTTCAAAAAAGTGGCCTCCAGTCCTCAGGCCTCAGTCCTGGGAGGCTGGGAGGCCCTGCAAGATGAACTAGACACCCACTGGGTCGCATTACTACAGAGAGCAGTGGAGGACTTTGCAACCAGAGTTGAATTTCCTCCTGAGGATCGTACCCGTAGCATAGTGTCTCTGCTTCCCAAGTGCTGCTTTACCATGGAACCAGGTTAGTCTCCTCCATCTCCAGAAGGCCCTGGGGAACTGAGAGGGGCCTTACTCATGGTCTATCTGGGTGGCCAGCCCCTGCCTGACCCACCAGCCACAAGAAAAGAGTTGCAGTCTCAGAGAACTGGATGCTATGGGGTCCACGTGTGGTCGGAGAGCCCCTTGTGCTAGGTGGCCTGGCCTGGCCTGCCACTGCTCACCTTGGCAAGTACTGTCCTGCTGTTCCTGCCCTCCTCTCCACCCCAGCGTCCCAGCACCAGCTCCTGCTCTGAGAAGCAGCCCAGTAGGTGAGCTGGAGCCATAGCTGCTGTCAGCCCCACATACCCCACTCTGCAGGGGAAATGAGCTCCTTGATGACTTCCTGGCAGAGAAGAGCAAAGGGGAGGAAGGCACTTGTCCCTCATGACCGCCACTTCTTACTGACTCTAGGGGAGAAGGTGAACATATGCATGCAATTGTATCTTCCAAAACAATGCCTCAGAAACCTAAAATTACACAGTAGGTTGATATGACATGGAAAGCTTTTTGAGTGGCCCATCTCCCATAAGGTGCTCCTGGACCTGCCAGTTTGGGGAGGACTGAATGTAGTCTGTGCTAGTAGCATAGGTGAGGATGGTCTGTAGTGTGCATGCAGCTTACAGCCTTGTCCCAGAGAACCCTAGGCTCCAGGTACCACTGGTGTAATGTGTATCACTGCCTCTAGTCAGGTGACCACACAACTCACAAATGAAACTGACCATGTCACAGAGCTCCAAGTAGACACTCACCTTGGAAGAGCCAGAACAGCAATTATTGAGAACCACAGCCACCAGAGGCCACTGAGGACCTCATCCTCTCCATGGGCCTGTCCCGCCTGCCGAGACCAGCACTCCTCGTACGTGTCAGGAAGTTGACCTTGCTGTGGAGCAGCCAGGCTCTCAATCAGACCCCGAAACAGAGGTCTTGGGTCCTGCTAACTCGCACTGAGGATCATCACATTTGGGTGATCTTTAATACCCTTTCACCTATTACTAATCACAACTAAATGACTCTAGACAGATGAGAAAATAAAAAAAGAAATGTATGGAGTTGTACTTGCAGTAAGAACCCAGAAGGAACTTCTGCTTACTGCTCTTCAGGAGGAGCGTCACTCAGGAGCCATGACAGCTGTCTGAGGGGGACCCCATGAAGCCCCCAGAAAGGTTGGCACCCATGGCATTTGGAGTATCACCATTTCACAGATGAAGACACTGAGACCTGGAAGATAAGCAGTGAACTTGCCCAGCGTTCTATAATAGGACACGTCAGAGTGGGATTGGGCCCACATCACCCTGCCGACCACTCTGACCCTGCCATATCACCCTGCTGACCACTCTGCCCACCACTCTCCCTGAGCCCTGGCTCCTCACGTGCAGGGCTGGTGGGGAGGGGAGAACATGCAGCTATGTCCCTCGGGTGGTGAGGGAGAAGGGAACTATTGTAGCCATTCTGCTTGGCGGACTCTTGAGCAGTGGGCCTGAGAGGTTGCATACCTGGAGAACCACTGCCGGCTCACCTCTGATAGGCGTTCTGAGGAGGGTCCCTAGGCCACCCTGGCTCCAGCTCTGCCCCCCGAAACCAGCTCCAGGTGTCCAGGGCTTTGGTGTGCTATCCCAGTCCAGGCCCTGGCGGCCTGCTCTGGGCTCCGTTTTCTGCCCCTCTACCGTGGCTGCGGGAATGCTCACCTCACCTGCTCCCAGGGCCTTATGCCTCTCTCACTGCCTGGACCACTCTGCAGACACAAACCAGTGCCTCTCTGTGGAGGTACACCTGACTCTGGACCACCGCTTGGTGCTCCTCTTTGGTACTGCCCAGAGCACTTGTGCAGAAGGAAGCCAGAGCAGAAAGGAAGGAGTTTCTTCTAGCTCTTTCCCAGTCTGCATATGGGGAAACTGAGGCCCCTTGATCACAGCTACACAACCAGTAAGAGCCCCGAGTCTCTGCTTGCCTGTCCAGTCCACAGGGAGACTCACAGCAGCTACCAGGAACGAGAGGCTCAGAGGCCCTCCCTGCTGGCTCTTTTCTCAGAAACTCTTTCCCAGGACTCAGTTCAGGCAGACTGCCCTAACACCCGTGTGCCAAAACAGCCTCCCTTTTGTGTCCCAGGACTCTGGGGCAGCCCTGAACCTCCATTCATCTGTCTCTTGTCAGCTGTTTATCAGGCCCTTCAGGTGCCAGGCCCTGTCCAAGTCCTGGAATGTGTTAGATGGAGGGAGATCCTGAACACTGACTGTGGAGGGAGAGTCCTGGGGTGCTCCATCCTTAGCTTGAGCTACCAGTAGTGCAGCACCACCTCTTCTGCATCCCTGGCTCTCAGTGCTCAGGTCAGCCTAGGAGGGTTAGGTGGACTAGGCCAGGGCTGTAAATGCTGGAGGCCCAGTTCTTTGGAGAGTCCCTTGGCACAGTACAGGGCATGGCCTGCAGAGACAAGCAGCCATTTTTGATTGCAGCAGGCCATCCCCACTTGGAGCTTCAGCCCCTCAGTGCTAACACCAGGGAATGATTCTGACCTTCAAGCAGGGAGTAAAGATTAGATCATTAAGCTCTGGCCACAGTATCTGACTCGTGACAAGGCCTTTGTGAATGGTAGCAATGGTTGTGTGTTGTTTTCACCTACCAGGCACCTCCTCTTACCTGGGGTCTCACATGCCCACCAAAGGCCCTGCCCCTACGGCAGAGCAAGGGGAGTTACCATCTTTCACTTTGAGAT